CGTAAATAAACAACTAAATAAATTATTTTTATAAAATTCATAATCATTTTATATTATACGAAAAATTCACCAAATTACTTTATGATTTAATAATTACGCCATAAATTTCTAATTATTTTCTTAATGAATACACGATATATTTTATATTGATTTTTCTTTACTATATTATACTTTACTATATTTGCTATGTTAGAAATAAACTAGATAGAGGAAATTAATATCGTCCTTTCTGTTCAAAGGGTATTAATCGAATCTTTCGACGATGCGGGTACGTTTTCAAGTTTAAAAACTTGACAGATGGCCTGCACGTGTGAAGAAACTGTGGTAGATGTGATACAAAACAGTAGTTCTCATCTCACTTCTAAATTTCGATTTTAAATTTATTATTATTATTGTTATTCGTAATATTATTATTGTTTGCGATATCATCGTGCTTATAATTCAATATAAAATTGTAATTCAAGAAGAGATTATCTATAATTTAAAATATATTTAATAAAAAATTCACATTATGAATAATAATAATAAGTTAATTAAAAGATAAAAGTTATTTTTCTTAAATTTTTTAACTTTTCTTTAGAATTTAAAACATTGGCAATAAATTTAAATATTAAATTACGAAGATAAATTTATGATTTTCTCATTCTTAATCTAAATTCTAAAACTTACCTAAATACATTAAATATTGTAAAATATTCGAAAGTTAAATGTCATAAACAGTAGAAAACTTAATAATTTTTAAAGAGAAAATTTAACGTGTTAAGAATGTCTTTTTGAAGAATATAATAATAAAATATAAAATGTTTTTCTTTCTTAATTGCTAAGATATTTTAGAGATAATTATCACAAACACTAAAGAAATTCTAATAATAAAACTACCTGTAGACAACAAGGACAGCAGCAACCAGTGCATCTGTAGGGTCGAATCATATGAAGAACCTCACGCTGATGTTTATCATAGATGGAGAATTCGCACGAGCGATATTTTCCCATGCACAATCGCCAACAGATTCCTGAATCTTCGACCATATAAAACACTGGCTCGCCCCTACTGTTCGAAATAACGTACTTGTTTTTAGTTTCCCATCCGGTAAAAGCTAAAAAAAGATAACGTATTGTTAAAGCAAAATATAATATATCATATATATCCTTAATGCAATAAAGTATTAATAACACATATGTAATATAGTTAAAATAAAATAAAAAATAGTAAAGTATATAATAGTAAAAGAAAATATTAATATAAAATATATCGTATTCATTAAGTGATAAGAAAATAATTAGAAATTCATGGCGTAATTATTAAATTACAAAGTAATTCGGTGAATTTTTCGTATAATATAAAATGATTATGAATTTTATAGTTATTTGATTACGTTATTATGCGTTATAGAATTATGAGTTTATCATAATACAAATAGACGAGGAGACTATCACGTAAAGCAAACCTAGCTTTGTTTACTCGGGGAATAATCGTTAATTACACTCTCGAGCTTCGCGGATCTGGAAAATATCTATATATGTATATTCGCGCGCGCTGTCTCAAAAAGAGAAGCGTTATACTTATATCATTCTTGGTAAAGCCGAGACTCACCTTGAAGCAACTCAATGCTCTGATTTACGAACAGATAATCAAGGTCCATAAGGTATTCCAAGCCGGGTGGATATGTCATATTCGGCGGCGACCAACCACCTAAAAGCATTCAAGTGCAATATTTAATAAACGTTCAGTTAATTCAACGTGCTGTTTCTTGCTTATATAAATGGTATAATATAAATTCTCTCTCTCTCTCTCTACGCACGCACGCATACATATACATACATATACATACAGGTTGTTTCATAATTTACCTGATAGATTTCGTAGACAAGTAGAGCGGACTAAACTGAGACGGAAAATCTTGTACCATTTTACAATTTTTGCAACATTAATATCTCGTTAACTATTGCGAAAATTGATAAAATGATACAGGATTTTTCGTCTCAGTTTAGTTCGCCCTATTTGTCCACTAAATCTGTCAAGTGAATTATGAGACACTCTCTATACACTCAACAGCATCACTTATCCTGTCCCCCAAAAATAGACAAAAAAGTGTAACTTTGTCAAAAATGATCGTTAAAAAATTTGTAAAAAAGCACTCTAAAGCTTGAAATCTCTACCTTCGAAAATGGTAATTGATATTTCGATTTAATTAATTCTTTATGAAGTTATGCGGACACAAATGAAAGTGCGTCAAATCTAAAAAATTTTTACTAAATTTAAGAAGTTCCATGACGTGAATTAAAAATCGCATAAAAATTTTGTTTACAGCATTCGAAAGCGTTAACTTTCAACTTTAATTTTCTTTTTTGTTGAACATTTGTTGTACGTTTTTTTTTCACCGAGTTAATCAATATTAAAATAAAAAGGACTACTTTTGCTTCAATGTTGAATAACTCGGTGAACAAAAATTGTACAGAGCTCAACAAAAAAACAAACTAAAGGTAAAGATTCACGTTTTTGAATGCTGTAAACTGCATTTGTGCACAATTTTTAGTTCGCGTCGTGGAACTTCTCAAATTTCGTAACAAATTTTGAGGTTTAACGCATCTTCACTTTATATGTTTATATATAACTTCATGAAATACCAGTAATACCGTTTTTTGAAATACCGGTATGAAAAGTAAAGGTTTCAAGCTTGAAAATGGTTTTTTTTAAATATCTCGATACGATGATTCTTGTCGAAGTTATTTTATTTTGAAGTTTGCCTGTAGTTTTTTAACAAAATTAGAGTCATTTAATATGTCAGAAAAAAGGATTTTTATTTCAACGTTGAATAACTCGGTAAAAAAAATCGTACAGAGTTCAATAAAAAAGAAAATTAAAGGTAAAGGTTCACGTTTTCGAATGTTGTAAACCAAATTTTTATGCGATTTTTAATTCACGTCATGGAACTTTTTAAAGTTAGTAAAAATTTTTGAGATTTGACGCACTTTCATTTGTGTCCGCATAACTTCGTAAAGAATTAATTAAATCGAAATATGAATTATCATTTTCGGAAGAAGAGATTTGAAACAATTTTTTACAAATTTTTTAATGATTATTTTTGACGAAGTTACACTCTTTTGAAATTTGCCTATTTTTGAGGGGCAGGATAAGTGATGCTTTCATTTTGCTGTTGAGTGTATATACTATATATATGTACATATATATATGTGTGTGTTATGTACAATATATAATAAATACAATAGAAATTTCTTGTATATATAAACATTAAATATAGTCCTGGCAATGAGTCATCGAAAGAAAATCAACACAAGTATACAATATTATTATAAATACATTAACAGGACCATTTACGACAATCTTTTTTATTAAATTAATATCTTAGAAGTGTTTTACGGAGATGAAAGTAAAGTCGCTTAATATGAGGTACCATTTTTTTAAAGACTTGTAATTTATTTAATTTGCAACCTTAACTTCTATTTTTATATCAAAATTTTATAGGAAATATATTTTAGATTTACTATAAAAAAAAAAGTTAGCGATCGATAGTAGCTATATTTTGTTATATGTGAAATTTGTTATAAAAAATGCCGATTTTGCTCATTCAAAAAATCTCTCATTCCTAATATGAGACGTATAAGGGTTTCCGTATATGAGATGGTATCTCATAATAGGAAACCGAAGGAAAAATAAAGAAAAGTTTCATGCCCTCGCCTTTATTACACAAAAATAAGAACAAAAATTAAATTATACATTGTAATTATATAATTTTTTTATGACTTGTGTTTGACTTTGTCATTTCAAAACATAGAAAATAAAAAATCTTCAGATTAGGAATCAATCACAACATATCAGACTTATACACTTAATAAAAAGTATTTTGTAAAACTTTTTAAGAAAAAGATAGCGCAGATAACGCGCTTATAAGCATAGGTTAGATTATCTCATATTACGAGCTCCATGCTTTGCGGCTTCATGATCACCAAATCTAATTTTTACAATTAAATACATCATCATATCTGGCATTTTTCTATTAATACGATCTTACTCTATCAATGCACGCAGACTTTATTACTAAATATTTATTTATTATACAATAAAACAAGGTTTGAAGACTAACTTCAATAAAACAATTCGACAACATTCAATTTCAGAAATCTTTTCACAACTAGTATCATCTAGATCTAATAATGAGTTTTCTACTAAATATGTTTTACTCTATCAGTAATAAGTTCATAATAAAACCAATCACATGCGCTTATTAGTTTATCAGAAATCCCGCTATCTCATATTAGGAACCTAATAGGCGACTATACCCTAATATAAATAGTGCAAGTAATATATATGTATTTTATAATTTTATAATTCACAATGAGATTTTTTTCTTAATGTGTAGATATCTACTACTTCTCTCTAAATTATAAAGTTAATTCTCAGTAAGTAAAATAATATATGTATATATACAAAATGCTCCGCAATAGCTGTATAACAAAATCGCGAAATATATGTTCACAGAAAGAATTCTGCACCTCTGTTCCTCCTCCGTCAGAAATCTGGTATATCCTTTCTTCTTGGATTTGTAATAACGCGCTAATGTGCTTTGAAACAGTGTTCTTAGTCGTTTGCGAATCCGCTCCAGCTTGATTTTCCACGAAGTCTCAAAGTATTCGGATTCCGTCGCACACGTAGAATGCCGCATGTTTCAATATTATTTCTCGTAGAAATTATACTTTATTAACGTGACACATACTTTTGTCAAACAAACTGAAATATTTTTATCACTGTACTACATCATTCTTCACTGTTTCATCACAATTATCACATAATCTTAGAGAGATATATATAAACGTTTGTGTAAATAAAGATTAAAGACTAATAATTATCTCTAAACTATAGAAAAAAATACGTTTTGTTTAAAGAAAATCATCGTTCGCGCGAATCAGTAGCTTCGAAAACTTTTGCTTGAGGTTCTTGTCACTTTTTCAATTTCCGTTTAAAAACTTTCGTTGGTAGATCCGTAGGTTTTTCCGAGAAGTTTCTACACTTATCCTCAAACTCTCAGATTTCACCGTTTTCTAAAATTCTTATCAATATTGTTCATCATCTGCTATTGTTGTTGATCTCACGAAAATAACTGTTGTGTCGATCCAAGATGTTCACTAGTAACGTTCGTGAATTGTTACAATTATTTTCCGTTATCTACCCTCCTCAAGACGCAGGAGATAAAACTTTTTCCGCGAGTTTTCTCTGGTTTGGATTTTCCCTTTTTTTAATTTATCGTTAAATATGGAAAGTAATGCGATATATCAAAGCTATATCGTAGATATTTAATGCCGCATACTTATTTTCGACAAAATTAATATATTATGAAAAAAATATTTTTTTAATTATTATAACTCTAAGAAAACTATCCACACCAAGAAAATCAAAGAGATTATTCAATTCAAGAACTTTATTTATCAGAAGAATTCTAGCAATTCGATCTGTGTGTTTATATATATATCATAGATTCAACTTATCATTTACATTCCTCTTCGAGATTTTCAGTTCTTCAGATCTTGCTTATGTGTTCGATTTCTCGATTTAAAATTTGAATCTTCGTTTTTTCCTCTTTTCTTCTTCCATCTTCTCTCTAATATTTCCCTTCTTTTTTCACGTCTAATCAAGTAAAAGGCAAACGATATACTGATAGACTCTAGAATGATCACTCCGCGGTGTTGTCACGTCGCGTTGCTTATCAGAACATTTCAAAATTCGAATACATAACAGAATAATCTATTTATCTCGTATCTCGGAGAGCAACAACACGGCGATGTACCTACGAAGTCCGGCGTCATCGTATAAATACAAGTGATATCGTTGAATACAACTGTTTAGATGATACGCGGCGGCCATCGAGGACGGTCATTATCTACTTTATACTAATCGTCACTCCCGGCAAACGGTGAGCAACTATTATTGGGAGATACCGTACCGTGGATCGTCCTTCTGCATAGATCGCATGATCGGGAAACGCCAGAGTTCGAATTTCCGTGGCGAGCCACAATTACGCTCGATAGAAGCAATACTTGGATTATGATTATCAATGTGGAGGATCACGAATGTCCTCGTGTCTATCGTAATTATAAAACAGCACAATCGTGAAACAGACGCATTTCGTGCTAATAGCACGTTTAGGTCGATATTGTATAATTATCAATTAAAAATAATTGTTCTTAATTGTTAAAAATAATTATAATTTAATTGCAGTGTTAAAATGCTCTCTCTCTCTCTCTCTCTCTCTCTCTCTCTCTCTAATTTAATTATAATTGTATATTTAGTATCTTCATATTTTGATAGTCTTTTAAAGTAGCGTCAATCACGATAGATAACTGATCCTTAATGTTAAGGATCCTCCTTTTATCTATCGTAGTTTATCCTGCCGTTTTATTAGTGATCCAAAAAGGGCGGTGAAAATGCTAATCCCGTTAATGTAAGTGAACTTTGTGAATGTAACTGCCCTGGAGAATTATCGGGTCAACTAAATTTTCTTCTTCATCTAGATTCGAGGCGACCTCGGAGGCGACGAGAAAAGAGTAGAGAAATGCGGTAATCAGGTCGAATTAACTACCGCCGTCTCGTGGCTGACTTTAAATATTAGCAAGTCAAGTAGATTTTTATTGTCTCGTACACACTTCAACCGTAGTTACAACTAAGAATTTAATCTAGCAGAGGATCTAAAACGCGCATACAGGTGAATCTCTATTATTATAAAAGCAAAACAAAGAGATTGAAAATACGAAATGAATTAATTTATTTTAAGGTATTTCGAATTATTCTTGTCTTTTCTCTTTTGTGTGAAATAAAGTTAAAGACGGAACGATGTCGCTTCCAATTCAATTAGATCGTTCCTCATGAATTAATGGACATTATTAACCAGAAAAATTCATATGTCTGTATTCATAGTAGCTATTCTCACGCTAAATTCGTTCACTACAATAATTATATTAAAAAAAAAAATTGTTTTACATAAAGTATTATCTACATGCAATTGCATAATATAATAAATTTTAATAACAAAATAATACATGTATATTCTATTAAATATCATTATTAAATATTTAATTATTCAAAATATTTACATGTTTTCGATTTAACTTCGCTAATTTTATGTATACATGCAGCAACTTTTAATATGCATTAATTTATAGTGTAATGTAAGTGACCGCACATTTGCTATGTAGGTATACAAGATCGTCGTAAGTACAGTCTTAAGATGTCATAAAACCAATCACAGAGCCGTGTTAGCATTTTAAAACATTATTTAAGACGGTCTTGAAATAGAGAAAGAACGGACTGTGAATATTGTGAATACACTCGTAAAATCATCATTATGTGTCTTGCGGTTTAGAGCCTCGCACGTTCGATGTGCGGATGTGTCCAGATGCAGTGTCGGTTTTCTTAGCGCGTGCTGAAGCACAGCTTGAATCTTAAGAATAACGTCTGCTCTTTTACCTGGCGGTGACGTCGGCGCATCTGGTTGCGGCGGCGGAGCTGTTACGATCGGCTGCGGTGGCTGCATTCCCGCCCCGAATGGCGGGGGATACGATGCATAGTACTTTTGATGATCGATCATTCTTCTACTTCCGGCTTACCCTCGTTTCTCCTGTGAACAAAGCAACAAAACCGGCAGGGTCAAGCTTCCAATGTATTGTGCAAGACTGTTTCGAAAGTCTAGGAAAGAAAGAGAAATGAAGCCCAGAGGCGAGAGCGAAAGGCAGTCGTGCATATATATTTTATGATAAAAAATATAAAAAGATATTAACACGCGTAAGAGTGAATAATTCGATATCTCTAATTCAAATTCTTCTCAGCTTAAGAAATACAGAGAAAACTATGTATACTCTGGGAAAAATGTCATGAATGTAAGTAGATACTTTAAAAGAGAGTTTTACAAGTTAAATTTAATTTAATTTACTGGTAATTTCCTTTTCACATGAAATTTGCTGACTTTTTTGATAGCGTAACCATTAACAATATAAGTTAATAATAAAATATGGCTGTTATATAATGTGTTATATAAAATATGTATATTTGATATAAATAACAACAAGATTTTTAATTTCTATTTTTAGATTAAATTTTGTTTAAATTAATTTATAACAAATCCTGTATATAATTTCTCTTGGATGTTGATAGGTTCAGAAAATTCTATCGATAGTTTATACAATAGTTTTCCGTTAAGACTGACTGTATTATTACGATCGATTTGTTGTGAACATTAAATATAAATAATAATTTGTGTTGAAAGAAATACGCGTTTGCGTCTCTCCTACCGACGGAGAGAATCCGAGGTGAATTATATTAGTTCTGAAACGAGTCGACCGATGACGGAAGCTGGCTTGCTCGTGTGCTTATGATACCAGCTCGTATATATGTATGATACTGTTTACGTTATGTTGAAATTGTTGGGTCATTGTCCCCGCGCATCGACGCTCGCGGTATTCGCTTCGTAAAGGTCATTGTAACGCGTGTACGCACATAATTCGCGTGCATGTGCATAGTATGTGAGAAATAAAAGAAGACCCGCAGCGATAATACTTTTTCTCTTTTCTCTGATAATTATCCTTTGTTCCGCGATCATGGCCTGCCTAAATCGATAGCAGCAGTTATCAAATATGACCGTAAACACTGTTTGGAAATTTCCTTGATTTCTGCGGAAACGCAAATTTCCTTATCGCGCTGAATGTATAAATGCTTTCTTAATTAAAACGATCGATTCGATGAAAGAGAAATTCTCTTGCACAATTATTCTTTCCATCCTTCTTATAATTCGCGATTTCTGTCACGCATGATTCAAAGGAATTGACATACGAAATTTTCAGAATTATCGCGTAATCACGTTTCTTTGTTTCAACTAGATTCTTATAAAATTAAATTATATAATTCTCGCAAATTTATTTTAGAGATTTATATTTAATATCTACATTATATATACATATATTGTGCGTGCGTGCATGCGTGCGCGCGCATATATCACGCACGCACGCACACATATATACAGTGGTGGTAGAAATAATACACTGCAGATAAATCGTTTATCTGCAAAAAAGATAGAAAAAAAATATTCAGATCAATTATTATGTGTAGAGGTAATACTTTGAGGCTTTGCATTTTTTTTATTAAAAAATTAATAATTTTTCAAGTCATACGATCATTAATAAATTGAAAATTTCAAGAACTCTTTTATATAACAATAATGCGTTAAACAGGGCGAAGTAAGAGTCAAATTATAATTAAAAATCTAAATAACTCTGATAATTTATTCTATCGTCCCGACGAAACGCCAAAAATTACGTGATATTCTTCGCAATATATTAGAATAAATTATCAGAGTTATTTAAGGCCGATTGTTTCATCTTTCGGTAAAATTTACCTGTTAAGTAAATCTGGCAATCCGCGCACATGATTGAGTAATCTTGCTATTTACCTAACAGGTAAACTTTACCAAAAGATGGAACAGACAGTCCTTAGATTTTTAATTGTAATTTGACTCTTACTTCGCCCTGTTTAACGTATTGATTATTGTACAATCATGAAATATTTAGTCTTAGAAAATTTTTGACAAAAAGTTATTGACAAAAATAATAAGTACAATTGCACTATGAAATATATTGCACAATAGAAAACCATTTAAAACATATTCAAAAAACTAAATCTTGTTTTTCTGACTAATATTTAGTCGCGTAGCCCTTATTTCGCAAAATTGCTTGACATCGGCGGCTTATTGAATCTACTAAGCGCTCGCATATTGATTTCGATGTGTTGTACCACGCTTTCTGAGTTTCTTGCCATAATTGAGTTTTATTTTTAATTTTCTCCTTTGGGACTGCCTTTTTTACTTCATGCCACAAGTTTTTGATGGGATTTAAATCAGGAGATTGTGCTGGTCATTTTATCACAGAGACTTTTTATTATCTTTAAACCACGTTTTTACAAGTTTTGACGAATGTTTTGGATCATTATCTTGTTGAAAAGTCCATATCAGTGACATATTCTCCTTAGCATAGGATAACATGATATCATTTAAAATGTCACGAAAAAATCTCTTTTGTCATTATTTCCTTGATCCAATACAGTGGACCGACACCATTGTAGGAGAAGCATCCCCAAACCATGATATTTCCTCCGCTAAACTTTATTGTCTTTTTGGTGAATTTAGGATTGAATGCAGCATTTGAAGGCCTCCACACAGTTAATGCACCATCAGATCCGTACAAATTAATCTTTAATTGTTTCGTCACTCCAAAGAATATTTCTCCACTGCTTCTCTCTCTCTTCACCAACAGTTTTTAAATATTTATTACAAAAGTTAAAAGATCTCTAATACTCTTCTTACTCAACTTTTCTTGGTGTTCTAGCACACAATTTAGCATCTTGTAGTCTTTGACGAATTGTTCTTGCTGATATCGATGCATTAGTTTGCTCCTTCAGTGTAAAAGAACTCACAAAGAAATTGGCTTTGCATTTCCGAAGTAGTAGCCAGTCTTTAGTTGTTTTTCGAGATCTCCCTCGCAATTCTATAGACTGCTGTGCTTTTAAGGCGTTAGCAATCATATTTTTAGATCGTTCTATCAATTTAGATATTTTCGCGAAAGATTTTCCATTTTTATAAAGATTTTTTGTCAATCTTTTCTTCTCATCTGTACAATGTTCGATCTACCTATTTTTCATCAACTGTAAATAAGATTTATCACAAAATAATGTTGGTAAATACTAAATTAAACATAGATTTATAATCTCTGACAATATAAAAGTGTCCAACAAAAATTTAATAATATGGAGAAAACAGCTTGTACCTATTATTTCTGCCGAAATCACTTTCTTTGAAAAACGTCTGTACTTACTTAATTCTAGAGATTAATTGAGATTATTACAAAGGTAATCTGACATAGCATTAACACATATGTTTGCAAATTGAAAAAGAACAACAAATGAGTTAGTGTACCAATTATTTCTGCCACCACTGTATAATATAAATATTGTATATATACAATATATATATATATATATAAATTTATACTTTTACGTAAAAAATAAAATTATATGTAATCCGGATTTATAATGCAAAATAATAATTAAGCTTAAAAAAGGAATCGGTGCGCGGTAAGAAGTTTGCAGTTCTATAACAGGAATTAAGCATTTCCCGCACCGATTTCAAACGCGAAACTTTTTAAATTTTGATTAAAATTGCTATAATAAATATGCGCAAAGTATTATGACTTAGAATTTAAAAGTTAGAATATTTAAATAGAATCTATGAATTATATAGAATTTATTTAATTGTATCCCAATTACATTTTTTCTATGTTTATAGAGTCTCATTAATCGATTATATATACATATAATTATGAGTTATTTTATAAGAGATTTTAACAAAGTATTGCTGTAGAACTTATGACACTCAAATAATCGTTTTAAAATGCTTAAAACGGACGTGATGACCATTATCAGTATCTTGTCACGAAACAGCTGACAGAGTTACAAAGAATTTATTCGGTAACAAAAATATTCCAATATCAATTAATAAACCTATCTGTTATTTGAAATATTCATTCGAAGTCCACGTATTAAAATTAAATATTGTAAATACATCTAATACAATTATATTATACAATATAACTAGAAAATATGGTCAAATTTTGAGAGCATATTTCTCACATTTAGAAAATGAAGACGTGTTATATGAACATAAGTCCGGAAACGCTTCCTTGTCGAGTTATTTCGGAAACACTGTCGAATTACAACAATAAAGTGAGTCGGATGTGTGCGTGTGTTTTCCAAACATTCCAATAAAAACAAACTATCACATGCATCCGTACAATGTAAACAGATTATTAGAAAAAGAGCTCTAACAAGAAAGTGAAGTATTTCCGGACCTATATAACATGTTTTCTAGGTATGAGATATACGCGCTTCCAAAATTTCGATGTATCTTTTAATTATATCATGAATAATATGTACTAAAGATTATGCATATTAATAGTAAAATATATATGTAGGTAAAATTATATTCACACACACACACACACACACACACATTAATCAGTTATTTCTCTGATGTATTAAAATAAAAATTTACAAATACATGAAATAGAATATTTCAGGTGTTTTTTGCTTTAGACGCTATTTTTGCGTTGGAATTATAACGGAATTCCATTGCATCTCGCGAATCGCCAGAGCAAGACGAAATCACCGACCGCCTACGTCACTGAACGTGCCCCATGTGAATATTATATCGGATTGTACTACTTTTTAACAGCCTTGAATGAAGGTTTTATGAAGCCCAATTGACAGTTTCCTCGTACGTTCGTTTTGGCCTCGATTTTTTATCACTACAATTTTTACAAGGTGTCGCACGCTTGCATTTGGGGCTCGCATATCGGATCCTCGATATCTGATATGACTTCCGTAGAGTTGTTCGAGCGTGAATAATTATTCAAAGAATTTTTCAATTCTCTATAAACCAGAAATATTCTAAATCTTAAATTCAAAGCACGGAATTCGAAAATTTCACATTATCTAAAATCCTAACTTCTCTAAATCGTACATTCCAAATTGCATATCTTAATTAATAAATTCTAGACCTCAAATTTAAAGAATTAA